GAGAATAGCTTTGAAATATTAACTGATGTAAGTTTGTAGATGTTTTTCTTGGGATCGCCTGTTGCCCCTTGGCTCTTTAACCAACTCAGGCCACAGTTAGGGCTCTGTTTACTCACTCTTTCAGGGTAGTAATGATCCAGAAGAAAAAGAGGAAAGTAAAGTTTTTGCTGGCTTTTGAGTTTCAAAGTCTAGCAAAGTCTAGGTCTCTCAAGTCATGGAAAAGACTCATGTACATAAAGAGCATACAAGGAGAAGATGAGATGAAAAATAGCAAAGCCTCTCAGGTCTCATACTAGATAAAGTTCCTTATAGTCAAGGAAATGAAGAGAGTCAGAGGGAAAACATTTTGAGTAACTGTTTGGGTTCCTGCATCATGCTGTACTCCATGCTCAATCCAGGAGGTGGAGAAAGGAATGACAGAGGCACAGGGAGGCCAGGAGAACCTATGTGCGAAAGGGGACCCATGCCCCTTCCCTGGGAGAAGTTGGAGAGGCAGAAAGAACCTGAAATAGAAATGTCCACCTGGTGCTTCAGGCAGACAGGCCCAAGACCAAGGCATTCATTTCCCTTCACCCCAGAAAGATCTGAATGCTTCAGAACAATTCTTACATGCTTGAGAGCAGCTTGACATGTCCTTTAGCCAAAAATAATCATGGGCTTCCAAAAGGTGGGTAACTAAGAATGAATCAGACCCTGGGTCTTTGCAGACACAGACCAAGACACTTGAAAAAACTCACAGATTGACAGTCAGGAACAAGGATGTCCATATTCTCCCTCCCAACACCTTGCAGCTTCTTATCATGCCTTATGAAAACCCTCCAGGACTTAAACACAGCCCTGAAGGAGGAGAAACCTTGAATTGACTGAGAGGTTTTTTCTGCAACCCAGCAGAATATGTTTTAAACAAAAGTAATAAAAAATTGGTCTCATCTTAACAGAGTTAATTTCCTTACCCACCTGAGTTTGTAAATTGAGATTTGCACTGACTGTATTTTAGAAGTTTCTTTGATAGTAAGCCTACTGTTTTCTAGGCCTAATCCCTAATATCAGAATTGTGAAAGATATTCATTCAATAAGTCATGAGTAGAGCTTGAGTTAGAACTCAGAGAAGGAACTTGAGATATCTGTGCAATATTGCCACTTAAAGGAATCCACCCTAACGTTCAGTGTTTACAACAACCACTATTTATTATCACCAATCTACAGATTGCCTGGGGTGTTCTTAACAGGACTTGGCTAGGTATCTCTGCAGACTGGCTTGTGCAGCCCTGCTGGGTGTGTTTTTTGTCTTCCTTCTTGGACGAGCAGGCCAGCCAGCGAATGTTTTTCTTTCGTGATAGTGGATGTGCAAAGGGCAAATAGAAACACACAAGACTTCTTAAAACTTAGTCTCAGAACTGGCACAGTGTCACTTACACCCACATTCATTGGCCAAAGCAAGACATGTGGTCAAACCCAAAGCAAGGGGTGGAAAAGTGTACTTTGCTCAAGAAGAGGTGATGGCAATGGTCAGGATTCAGACAGGGGTGAAGAATTGGGCCAATCATTCAGATGACCACAGATGGTAAAGAACATTTTTGTTGAGTGCCTTCTGGCAGCCAGGCAGTTTGCTGTCTGCTTTACATGCTACCCACCTCAATCCGTATTATGCAGTTTGCATTATTTTACCCCCCTCACCCCTCACCTTTTTGACAGATGAGGAAACTGAGGCCCAGAGGGGCCAGGTAATTGGCCTAATACCCACTGCCATCAAGTCCATTCTGACTCATAGCAACCCCATAGGGTTTCCAAGGCTGTAATCTCTACAGAAGCAGACCACCACATCTTTCTCCCATGGAGCCACTGGTGGTTTCGAACTGCCACCCTTTCGGTTAGCAGTCGATAGGTTTAACTACTGTGCCACCAGGGCTCCTTAATTGGCCTAATATGTATAGTTAGTTTGAGACTGAGCTGAGATTCTAACCTGTACCTGTTAGAATCCAAACTCTGTGCTTTGGAGGAACCATGTTGGTCTCTGGTGCCTTGACACCCAATCCAGCCCCCTTTTCCTGAAATGACCTTGACTCTAGATGATAATATTGCTCTGAGGTCCCTTCTTTTTCTCTTTTCACACACAGTCCTTCTTCCTCTCCTTTTTGACTTGATAATTAATTCAGTTACTATTCCTTGATTGCTATTAGTAGGTAACACCATGATTGATACCATCTGGAGAACACTTATCCAAGCCTTGAGTGGAAAGTTTCACAGTGCAGGAGATGTAACAGGAGACCTTCAAGAGGAGCTGTGTCTATGCACGTGATAAATTACCAGCCCTTGGATTATCTGCCAGGAGCTCTCCCTCCAGGTTTGGGAGCAGCACCTTTCCTGCTGCGGTGCCAGCTGTGTTATTTACCACATGTTCAGTAAAGCATATGTCCTCTAAATAAAGTGGGGAGGGTGGAACCACTAAGCTTGCATAAACTAGTTTTCAACAGAATCTGTTTTCCTCCAATTGTCTCAAGTGCCTTCTCCCTGGATAACCAAGCTTCATACTTTTAGAAGCCCAGATCCTAACAGCTGGAGGTAAAGCTCCCAGTGGAATGGAAGGAAACATGTTGATACTTTTAATTGGTCCCTGAAGTGAAACCCAAGGAAGGATTTATTGGTTGATGGATTTGAGACTTCCAACTTAGCGGAGCTGGGAAGTGTATGGTAAAGATAAACACATTAGACATTTGTGGCTAATTATTAGAAAGTTGATTTTATTTAATTTAGGATATGAAAATCAAGTGAAAAATCACCTTAAATTTAATTTATTGCTATTGAAGTTAATGATGTTTATACTTACCTGCAAGTATGGCCCACTGTGCCTTGTCCATGTAAGGACCAGTTTTGAGTCCTTACAGGGTCCTGAACCCATGGACTGAAATAAGCAAAGCTACTATTCCCAGCCATACAACTCCATTGCTCAAGTGGGTCTGATGAGCCTGGGGTCTCTGAGCACTAAAAGGCTGGTCATCAAAGAGGAGAACTTCAAATATACACACCTGCAGTATTCTTACTGCAATAGCACTGCATAAGGATCACCCCAAAATCTCAATGGCTGATAACAACCAATGCTTTTTTCTTACTCATGAGCATGTAAATCGGTTTCTTACTGTTGGCACTACAGGTCAACAGGGTCCAGCTCTGCCTCAGGTTAAAGACTGGGTTCACATCAGCTCCTTGTATCTTTCGTTCTGGGACCCAGTATCAAGGGGCAGTGGCTACCTGGACATGTTCTTCCATGGCAAAATGGAGGAACACCACAGAGTTGGAGGAAACTCACTGTGCTTTCTAAAGTCTTGGCTTGCAACAGGTACATCATCACTTCTACTCACGTTCTGTTGGACAAAACAGAACACATAGCCTAAGTCATGGCAGGAGAAAATATACTCCATCCTGAGGGAGGGCGAATATTTACTGAACAATAATCCAATAAAACATACCTTTATTTTCATGTTTATATACTATGACCTTCATTTTCCTCTTCTATACAATTTAGGGCAATTGAGAGCACGCTAGTAGAGGTATATGCATATGAAGTAATTTGTGATAGAATTAAATAAAATACAGAATGTGTATTGTAAAATGTAAATTGTAAAATGTCATGTGATATCACTAATGGGCGACCAGTTATTAAGACCTATTATCTGCTATGGAATATGTAGTGTTGACAATAAATGATTCATGCAAGGCATTTTGACTACTAAGCTTGATAGGCTACACTGAATAATGAAGTAAAAATATATTTAGTTTTCAATAATAAAAATTCTAGTTATAAATTTTTTTTATTTCTCTCCATAGATAGAGCTTTACTCACTCATTAAAAAATATTTATTGGGATTTATTATGTGCAAGGAATTGTAGAAGACATTTTTGGTAGTGTTCAGGATGGGATGAAAGGTTGAAAGAGGGGTGAGGAGGGATACAAAGATGAATAAAACATGAATTTTGCTCTCTAGAAGCTTAAATCTAACAGTAGAAATAAAATGTGTTCATGAGGAACACATTTCCTTCCTTTCTTGTATCCATTCTTCCTTCCTTCTTCCTTTCCTTACTTCCTTCCTGATAGAGTAGAATATAATGGCTGAAAATATGTACTCTGGAGCTAGACTTCAAGGATTTGAACTTATTCTCCATTAATTATTAGCTGGAGGAGCAGTAGTGGCACAAATGGTTAAGTGCTTGGCTAACCAAAAGGCTGGCAGTTTGAACCCACCCAGTGGCTCTGCAGGAGAAAGTCCTGGTGATCTGCTTCCATAAGGAATACAGCCAAGAAAACCCTATAGGACAGTTCTATTCTGTCACATTGGGTTGCAAGGAGTTGAAATCGACTTGACAGCACCCAACAACAGCAACAATTATTAGCTGTATATCCCTAAACGTGTCATTTCAGGTCTGTTTGCTTCAGTTTGCTAATCTGTAAATTAGAGAAAATAATTGTAGCAGATGTGGCTACTCCACCCATATCCCCTTTGCATTTGCCCACATGAGCTGAGGGTTGCTTACTATAAACTGCCTGTGAATCTGCCTCAGAGCTTTTTTGTCCTCATCATAGGAGTACGTTCAGCCCACCCAGGGAGCCCCTGGAAGGAGCGTTCAACCAATGATAGATGGAAAGCTGGTGGATAAATACTTCATCTTCCACAAAGAATATATAACTGTTGTTAATTTCTATACACCAAATATCACAGCCAACTTTCACAGAGTGGAAATTATAGGTGACAAAAGTATAAATAGACCAAAACACATTAATTATATTAGACTTTAATATACCTCTCTCAGTTCAAGAAATATCATGTTGATTAAAAACTAGTCAAGATATAGAAGCCCTAAGCAACATACTCAATAGGGTAGATTTAATAGAATATTTAAATCTGAACCCCAGTAATAGAAAATATACTTTGTTTTCAAGCGAACATAGGCTACTTTTTAAAAATTGACTCTATAAATTCCAAAAAATAGCAATAATAAAAACAGCATTTTTATGCTCACACGTATACTAAAATTGGAAGGATACAAAGAAGATTGGCATGGCCCCTGCACAAGGATGATACGCAAATTTGTGAAGTGTTCCATATTTTTTAACAGGTCTAACCACCTGGTGACAGGATGTGAGTGCTTCAAAGATGCCAATAATCAAAGTAGCTCACACGACCAGCTTATTTGGGCATATCAAAACAAAACAAAACAAGAAGCTAGGACACAGTAAGCAAACATAAAATAGATAAATATAATAACTTATTGATGGCTTTGAGACAATGGTCGATATCAAATCACATAAAGAGGCAGACCATGATGACTTCAGCAAGCTCCCAAAACAAAGAACCAAGAAACCTCCTGGAGGAAGAGAACTTCTTGGAATTACTGGAGGTAGAATTCAAAAGATTAATGTATAGAACTCTTCAAGATATCAGGAAGGAGATCATGCAAAACACAGACCAAGCCAAGGAACACACAGACAAAGCAACAGAGGAACTTAAGAAGGTTATACAAGAGCATAATGACAAATTTAACAGGCTGCAAGAATCTGTAGAGAGACAGCAAACAGAAATCCAAAAGATTAACAATAAAATTTCAGAACTAGACATCTCAATAGAAAGTCATAGGAGCAGAATTGAGGCAATGGAAGTCAGAATTAGTGAGATTGGAGATAACGCACTTGACCCCAATTTATTTGAAGAAAAATCAGATAAAAGAACTTAAAAAATGAAGAAACTCTAAGGATTATGTGGGACTCTATCAAGAGGAATAACCTATGAGTGATTGGAGTACCAGAACAGAGGGGGATAACAGAAAACACAGACAGAATTATTGAAGATTTGTTGGCAGAAAACTTCCCTGATATTGTGAAAGACGAGAAGATATCTATCCAAGAAACTCATTGAACACCACACAGGGTAGATCTGAAAAGTCACCAAGACATATTATAATCAAACTTGCCAAAACCAGATATAAAGAGAGAATTTTAAGAGCAGCTAGGGATAAACAAAAAGTCATCTACAAAAGAGAGTCAATAAGACTAAGCTCTGACTACTCAGCTGAAACCATGCAGGCAAGAAGGCAATAGGATGACATATATAAAGCCTTGAAGGGAAAAAATTGCCAGCCAAGTATTATATATCCAACAAAACTGTCTCTCAAATATGATGGCAAAATTAGGGCATTTCCAGATAAATAGAAGTTAAGGGAACTTGTAAAAACCAAACCAAAATTACAAGAAACACTAAAGGGAGTCCTCCAGTTGGAAAATGAATAACATCAGATAACAACCCAAGACTAAAACACAGGACAGAGCAGCAAGCAGATATCAACCCAGATAGGGAAGTCACAAAAATTAATCAAAGCTAAAACACCGAAAATAGGGAAACAGATGTCAATATATAAAAGTTGACAAGTTAAAACAAAAAAGGGA